TATATCCATTGAATAAAACTCAGGTTATTTGACACTAATAAAACCAATTTACATCAATAAAACAATCGACATATGTATTAGTTTTTTTAAAAATTATTGATAATATATATTCTATTTATTAACTTCAATTAATAATTGATACAAGTAGTTTTACCAAATTAATATCGATTACATATTTTTAAGATTCAATATAATTACTTTTCTGTCTAATAAAAATGCGATAGTCGGAAGAAAAACGGAAAAAAAAAACAGTAGGATTATGCGAGATTTTATTCATAATAATAATTATTTTTTACATGTACTAATTACTTTTTTGTTAATAGCGAATTATTTTCTTTTTCTCGAAATCAACAAATAAGATTTTTTCCCTCACCCATAATCCTTTTTTCACGCCCACAATCCTTCTTCTACGGCCCAAAATCTTCTTATTATCTTTGAAAAACGTTTTCAAAACAATCTTTAAACACACACTAATTAATAACTTGATATCTCTCACTTATATTTTCGAAACCTTCAAAAACAGAAGCTTTCTTGTTTTCTATCTTTTGATGCTTTCGATTTCTTCATGTACTACTAATCATTTGTCTGGTTATAATCATTTAGTGTGTGTGTGCTACACGGTTTGAAGGAATGTAACGTACAGGTACTCCCGCACTATACTTACAAATGGTTATTGCTCGAACAAAATTTTCTAAAGCTTATCCAAGAGATAAAATCCTTTAATTTAATCTAAAATTTTGTAGAACGAAGATGTCTTCAAGTACGTATTCTACTATAGTTCAAAGGATCCTTGGTCTTGCGCCAACTTACAGTCCGTATTCTACTAGTGGAAGATGGAGAGCACAGAAGAAGAATTGAAGTTTCGGAGATGAAGGAGCAATGTTGTTCGATCGTGATATCAGTTCATATCACTATTTTTTTTTGTTATAAAATTGTTGATGGAAGTCAATATTAACTTGATTCGATTTAAGATTTTTTTTTTTTGTGATGTAATTGAAGATTTTTAGTGATATACTTGTAAAGATCTTCGCAAGATTTCAATAAATGTTGAAAAGTAGTTTTCCATATCAAAATAATATTTTTAGAATTATCTGAAAAATAAATTTATTATTAATCAAATCAATTAATTTGAAAAAAAAATTACGTTAAAAAGGATTTTAATAGATATTGAAAACAATTTTGCTATCAAATAATAATTAATGAATAAAAAATATTAGAATCACTTATAAAAATTGACACTAATTTTGAATCAATTTTTTACAACTGATATGAATATTTAACATCGATTATTTTATATTGATGCAAAGATTAATATCAATTACAAATAACCGATATAACACATTTGCATCACTACTTTCAGAATCGCTTTAATAAATGATGCAAAGTTTGTTCGCATCAATTATAATTAATGTAAGCAATTAAAATAAATGATACTATACGCGTTTTTTTTGTAGTGAACTATCTTCAATGTGTGGAAGTAGAGGAACAATGTTCTTCACAACTCCATCTCAATTCCTCCGCTGACCATCTTTGCATTCATTGATCGTGATATCAGGAATATCATCAACACGAGACGACATCGACGACACTTTGGTAGCTTGATGGCGTTTTGGTTTTCTTTCTTAAGTATGTTCTCCTTGTTTTTTATTTAATTTTTGCCTAGGAAGCATTGTAATAGATTGCAAACTCTTGTAACACTAACTTTCATTATATGATATTAACATGTTTAG